AAGTTGTACGTGTGGCTAGTTGTACCCTCATCATAATTGTAACGTTGTTAATTATCTAATAAAAAGCCCCCTGGCCATAGAGGTCACCTTAAACAACAAAAAAAAAAAAAAATTATTAATTTTATATTTTTATTTTATTTTTAATTATTTTTTAATAATATTATTTTTTTAGATTTTAAAGATAGTTTCAAGACAAAATTCTTTTATGTCAGTTGATTAATTTCAAACAAATAGTAATACAAGTACTTCAGATACTGTTGATTCATCTCAAGATTTAAATGAAGAACCAAATTTGAGTAATACTTCTAATATTACTAATTCAAGATCTTTAGCTGATTCTTATTTTAAATATATTAATTTGAGATAACAATATAGATTTTTTTTTTTTTTTTTTTTTTTTTTTTTTTTTAAACTTAGACAGTTTCACCAGTGTTTTATTAAGATCCTAAGTACAATATCAATATACAAAATACTGAATAACTATATCCGTTTACTCTTAATTTGCAAATCTAACATTACTGGCTATCTTAAAATACCCAAGTGCAACCCATCACACTAATCTGAAGTCTAAAATTAGAGGCTTATGTTAAACTAGCCTAATTGCTACACCAAAATAGCTTCTTCTTTCTTTTGTATTCCTTTGACTAACAAGAAATATAATAAAGACTATAAAAGGAGAGAAGGTTTAAAAAAAAAGAGAACATATCAAGAAAACGAAAATACTAAAAAAAACCAAAAGTAATAGAAGAAAAAAAAAGAATAAGAAAAACAAAAAAGAAAAAAAACTATATGATGAACAAGAAGGCTAGTCTAATATAAAACTAAACTAAACAAAAAGGACGAAAGACTAGAAGATAGTAAAAACTCAACTAAAAAAAACAAAAAAGAAGAGTCTATAACAATACACTATTATAACTTATGCTAGGTAGATAAAAATTATATAATAATTGCAACAATTATATATCTCTTTTGTAAAGCGTCACTTTAACATATATTTCTCTTTTTGACTGACTAACCACCTTTAGAAATCTCTTTAACTATCTGGTTCCGATTTGACTTTGATCCAACCTATGAGGTAGCACTGTATTTGTAAACAAACATAACACGTAGTTGTATTCTACTAAGTACGTCTGAATTAGAAAATATAAACAATGCTGATTTTTTGGAAGGGATAAACCAAATTACCTACTTTTTGATAAAAATTTTAAAAGACTAGTAGGAAGGCAGAAAAAAGTAAAAAGAAAGAGTCTCTTGTACTATTTCTTAAAGAGTGTTTATTTTTTTGCAAAAAAGAGTATTTACTCTAACTAGAAGGAGAGTAGAGTACAGAAGGCTTTTGCTACAGAAAGTAATAAACTCTGAACTTGTCAGCAGGTAGTATATAAGAACTATCTCTAAAATGACAGATGCTGCTCTTGCAATAAGTAATAAACTCCAAGCTATTAACAGGTAGCATATGAGAACTATCTCTAAATAACTAGTGCCAACTTATTAGATAACTGTCTTTCTTCTTTTATTTTTAACAACAGATTTTTTTTGAAATTTTGATTATTGAAAATTTGGTACAAGGAATCGTCAGAAAGAGCTAGCTTTATTTGATAAATATTCATTAGCATTAGTAAGAGATTATCATTATATAAATAAGTATATATATTTACTTTAATAATCTAACACTATAATTAGATAATCTTTCTCGAGTTATATAATCATTGTCCAATTGTCTGCTCTATCTTTAGACATGGATTAGACTGGACGTTTGCATTCATGTCTACATCCAGTTCATGTCTGCCTGCTAACACTGCTCTATAGTACAGTTGATACTGTCTAAATGCATACTGCATTCTGTCTAAATACATAATTTTTTAAAGAAATTTATTAGTAATATGCATTTAGACAGTTAATTTTCTGGTATTTGATTAGTTGATACTGTATAAATGCATAAATTTGATTTTTTTTTTGCCTTACTTCCAGCCGGCAACCCAGAAGGGTTGGTTCACCTAGACTTTAAGTGTCTATATGGTCTTCCTTCCCTTGGTACATGCTTCCAGGGCACATGTCCTTTTCCTCCGGTTTTGGCGACCCGGCGGTTCGGCTGGTGTGTCCCCCCTTCAAGGACCTGGTCGCTCGGTTCTCCGATCTCAGTTTCCAGTTCCAAATTCGGTCTTCCTGTAGTACTGTCATAAAATTAATAATAATAATGAATTTACATTAAAATTAATATAAAAAATATATTTATTAATTTATTTTAACTCTATATATTTATTTTTATAATATAATTATTATTAAATTATTACAACCTACCTTTATTATAATAAACTTTTAATACAGTGAAGATTTAATATAGTAAAAATTTTAAGTTATAGAATTATTAAATTTTAGTTTAATACAGTAAAGCATATATAGTATTCTCTCAAAATAAGCTATAATAAAAATTTTTCTTAATCTAATAACTTTACTATAATAATAGTGAGTTATATATTAATTTTTATTACATAATATTTACATAATAGCATTTTTTTAATTAAAATTTAAATACTATATTACTATGCAGAAACTTAAATTTTTTAAAGCACAGTAACTGCATTAAAATTAAATTTAATTGTAATTATGTATATAATTATTATATCATTATTATGCAGTTACTATACTTTAAAAAATTTAAGCTTTTGTAAAGTATTTACTATTCACTTTCTTAAATATACATTATATTAGTTATGTTGATATTTGGTATATAGTTATATCAGATTTCTGTATATAACATTTCTAATAATATTTTTTTATTTAATATTCACAAATTATAATAGCATACCAATATCTTTAAATAATATAATTCAATAATATAAATTGCTTGTTAAATTAACATAGAAAAATAATATCTATTATAAATAATACTTTAATAAAATAATATAGCAATTATAAATTAATATCCTGAATAATTGCTATCTTGGGGTCCAAAAAAAAAATAACATCAATTTATTTTAATACTAAAATAAAATCCTTTTAAGTAATATAAAAAATATTATTATTTAAACATTTATTAAAAAAATATTTTAATCATATTCACTTTATTTATACTAAAAAAGATACTCATAAACTAATAAAAAAAAAACTCTAATATATATTTATTTTGATCAAATAATAATATCAAACTTCTACAAACTAATATATAAAAAAAATATATAAATAAGACTCAAACTTCTTAATCTTTAAACTTTCAACTAATAATACTATTTTACTTATACTAAACTAAATATAAAAAAAAATATACACAATACAAAAAAACAACTCTCCTTATCGATCACTTGTACCAAAATTCTTCAGAAAATTTTTCTAACTCAAAACACAGTGAAGAGGTTATAAGAAGTGCCTGGAATCAGAACGAAGCCATAAGTCAGCACCTGTTATTTAGAGATAGTTCTCATATGCTACTTGCCGACAGGTTTAGAGTTTATCACTTACTGCTAGGATAGCACTTGTCATTTAAAAGTAGTTCTCATATGCTACTTGCTGACAGGCTTAGAGTTTATCACTTACTGAAAAGAAGAGTTCGTTTGGGAAAAACAGTTCATAATAAGTAACTGCTATTTGCTTAGTCACTCATTACTCTAAATAAATTTTTCTTCCTACTTGCCCTCTTGTTCTAGCAACAAATTTTTGAAGAAAAGTGAGCAAAACAGCTTATCCCTATCAAAAGATCGACATTGTTTACTAGTTTTCTTTTCCGGTTGACATAGTAGATAGCAACCATGTGTTTGGCCTAATTTGAATATGGTACTACTAGTTTGGTCTGAAGCTAATGATTAAGATACTTCTAATAATGGCAGCAAGTGGCTTGAGATACGGGTCCTCAGATAGCGGCAGCACTTGGCTTAAGATACGGATTAGAAGGCTGGGCCAAAACTTCCGGTATTAATATAGTTCAGAGAAAAAAGCATGAAGGTTAAGGCAAAGCTTTACAATAAAGATATACAATATTGTTATTGTTATATAATTTTTATCTACCTAGCACAGGTTATAATAGTGCATCGTAATGTGTAGTTTTTCTTGTCAGGATCATCTGACTTTCTTGTCCTTTTTCATCTTTGTTCATTTATGATGGAAACATATTTAGGATAGTGTTTTAGTTGTTTTAGATTCTTTTATTTCTCCTAGATGTAGTTGTTCTTTGATAAAAGTAGTATATATAATCCTTGCTTAGAGAAGAGTAGGAGATAGGTATTCTACTCAGATAATAGTGGAAGAAGATCTTGAAGGTCAGGTGATCCTGACAAGGCATACAACAGCCAACTTATGAACTAAGAGGGTATCAAAGATGGTACAAAATTCTTAGCAAGTTAAGGATCCCAAGGGAGGTAAATACTTGTTATAGCAGGTCACATTGGGTTTAACCTAGTAAGTCTTTATTAGGTTAGAACAATAAGCTATAAGAATTTTAATACATAAGTATATATAAATCATATAGTAGTTCACACGAATAAAGGCAGGATCGCTTAAAAAAAAAAAATAAAAAAAATAAAAAAAAATATACATATAAGTAAAATACAAACATTATAATTATTAAAACTTTTCAACTAATAATTATCAAATAATAGATACTATAAACATGACTCCCAAGTATTGGTTGGTCACAATAGTTGTGTGCAGGATGGGGCATATAACACATTTCAAATCATATAAAAAAAAAAAATTAAAAAAAAAAATTTACAAAAAAAATAGCATGACAATAAAGTAGTTTGAACATGGTATCATTAAACTTTTACAAACTAATATGTAAAAAAAAATATATAGATAAGACTCAAACTTCTAATCTCTAAACTTTCAACTAATAATACTATTTTACTTACATTAAACTAAATATAAAAAAAAAATATACATATAAGTAAAACTTAAACATTCATAATCTTTAGAACTTTTTAGCTAATAATTATCAAATAATAAATACTATGGATGTGACTTCTAAGTATTAGTTGGTCATAACAGTTGTGTGTAGGAGTGAGGCATATAACATATTTCGAATTATATAAAAAAAAAAAAAATTAAAAAAAAACTTACAAAAAAAAATAGCATAATAATAGAGCAGTTTGAATATGATATTATTAAACTTCTACAAACTAATACATAAAAAAAAATATATAAATAAGACTTAAACTTCTTAATCTTTAAACTTTTAACTAATAATACCATTTTATTTATACTAACTAAATATAAAAAAATATATATATATAAGTAAGATACAAATATTCATAATCTTCAGAACTTTTCAACTAATAATTATCAAATTATAGATACTATGAATATGACTCCCAAGTATTGGTTAGTTATGATAGTTGTATGTGAAGGTGGGTACATAATACATTTCAAATTATA